CATAGATTTAGAATTTCATTAACTCCTCTTTCACGTTTTTTGGGTGTCAGTAGTCAGGTAACAAATAAATGATGATGTGATATTACATTCAAAGCCTGAAAATGCTGGAATATGTGAAACTTAATAAAAATAAATTGAAAAATGTATATTACACAGCCTTGTATTATATAGCCTGCATTATATAGAGAGAGTTTATATATAAAAATAAAACCTATAATAATCATACTGTAAGCAATCAGACTGCGTGACAAGTGGCCAGGAAACTTTGGTTGTTTCATAGTAAAAAAAAAAAAAAAAAAAAAAAAGTTACTGAACAGCTTGAGGGTTTTCTATAATCTCTTCATAGCAGTGTTCTTCCTTATCTCTAGACTTCTAGAATCACAGCAGTTACTACCATTGGAATTAAGAAAATCATAGGTATTTCACACACTGTGGGTTCTTATATGGGCATTCCTTTGGCTTTTTCTTCCCAGTTCTACCATGGGGGAACTGCCAAGGACACTTCACTTAAAGCTATATAGATATTACCAACACCCAGAAATGAACCAACACCCCTTCTAAAATGCCTTTGTTCTCCCTTTAAAACCCAATAAAAACATATATATATAAAATATATAGTATATTTTTTATGTATGTGTATGTATATATAGTTTTTTAAGACAGGGTCTTGCTCTGTCACCTAGGAGGGAGTGCAGTGGCATGAAACTGGCTCACTGCAGACTCAACCTCCTGAGTTCAAGCAATCCTCCCACCTCAGCCTCCTGAATAGCTGGAACTGGGGGCATGTGTCACCACATCCTGCTAATTTTTAAAAATATTTGGTAGAGACAGGGTTTTGCCATGTTGCCTAGGCTGGTCTTGAACTCCTGGCCTCAAGCAATCCTCCTGCCTCGGCCTCCCAAACTGCTGGGATTACAGGCATGAGCCCCTGTGCCCAGCCAACATACGTTTTCTATCATCAGCATCAACTTTGATGGCACTACTCTCTCGTTTAAAAAAACATTAATGTATATATTTTCTCAAGGTCCAGAGGGTTCTATTCTTCATTTACTGATTGATTACTAATTAACTATTTGCTGAGTGATTGCTACATGTAAGACATTATTCTAGGCTCTAGGGACACACAGTGGAGAGTCTGAGGGAATGGGAAAGGATGTTAGTCAAACAAGTTAACAAGAAAATATCAGGTATTGCTAATGCTATGGTAAACAGTGTAGAAAGTAACTGAGAGAGAAAAGAGATGACTTTAGATTGAGGCATCAGGGAAGGCCTTTCTGAATAAATTACATTTATTAAGCTGAGGTCAGAAGGACAAACTGTGTAACAGAGTGTCATTTACCCTAAGTAACATGCTGCATGCAAATACAGGACTGTGTTCTTGGTAGGCCCTCAATAAGTGATAAGTCCAAGTAATCATCTCTAAGTTAGGTACTCCTGGCCGGGCACAGGGGCTCACACCTGTAATTCCAGCACTTTGGGAGACTAAGGTGGGCGGATCACTTGAGGTCAGGAGTTGAAGACCAGCCTGGCCAACATGGTGAAAACCCGTCTCTACTAAAATATAAAAAAAATTAGAAGGGCATGGTGGTGCATGTTCGTAATTCCAGTTACTTGGGAGGCTGAGGCAGGAGAATCGCTTGAACATGGGAGGCTGAGGTTGCAGTGAGCAGAGATCGTGGACTCCAGCCTGAGCAACAGAACAAGACTCCATCTCAAACAAAAAAACAAAAGCAAAACAAAACCCCAAAATCATGTACTCTTTATCACAAATGTACCACACACATGCTTAATATTAAATAATATAAAGTTAGATTAGTTTGGGTTGCCATAGAATACCAATGCACACAATATTCTAGATACTAACATCTACTCACATTACAAATACTTATAATAGGCTTTCAAGGGGGAAAAGAAAACCCTCCTAGCCTCAATATTATGTATTTTATCAGTACATGTGTAAAACATGATATTTGCATGTTATTTTACTGTATTAATAAAAATGACCGCCTCACCCCCTGGAATGTTGAACCTGTTAGTTTCTAGAAAGGATGAGCATTTCTTTCTACAAGATGTCACTTCATCCTACTACTCTTTTTCTCAAAAGCCCACATACAGTCACAAATTCCAGGCTAGGGCGAGCAGGACCTCCACTTGTATCAACTAGTTCATGCTTTCACTTTCAAGTCTACTGATGATCTGAATATCTGTAGTATTTACAGTTGCTACATTTTAATCAACATAGATGCTTATAGGAAACTAAACATTATAGTTTTTACCATTCCTGATAAAAATGATAAAATGTGTTTTTAAACAAGCCTTTCCCACAAAGATAAAACTGAAGAATAAAATAGGGAAGACGTTAAATACAGAAAGTATGAGGAAAGACCTTTATAATTAAGAATGTTCTAAAGAGTACGTTGAAAGATACACAATATAAGGAAAACACAAACCAAAAATCAATACAAAGGCATAAAACAGAAAGGACATGTACTCATCTTAAATATTCTTCTATCTCCAAGATTAAAGTGAGAAAAGGCACTGGCTTAAATATTGACACTAATTGTGAGCAGTTTTAAACACTATTTCCAAGCCAGTGTAAACTGAAGTTGGTAAAGGACAGTAAAGAGAATTTTGTGAGGAAAAATCTTTAATTTCTTAGCCCTCTTTTAATGTTGCCTGATTACCACACACACCTTAACTCAATAATAATTATAAGCCATCAGAAAGCACTGTATTGGTAAGTATGTGTGAAGTCTTTAAATCCATGCTCATAAGTTAGTTAACTGTTACACCCTCCAAAGAAAGCAAGAAGTATTGTGATACAATCAGCAAAACAGTGGTTTACCAGCATTCTCTTTCCCTGTAGCTTTCCTTTGAGTAGCTGCACTTGGAACTGTGCCAGTGAAGCCACATGAAATCAAACTATAGGACTCAAAGGGAATTTTTAGGTAGCCACTGCCAAAGATGATTCTGAATGTCTCTGCTTTATATAGAAACATTTATCTAAAGGAAAATGAATCATCAAGTTCAAACTTTCTAAAAGAGCATTTTCCCCTGCACAGATCCCCAGGTCATAGCTATAAATTCCAAAGAGGCAAAACTGTTAAGCTAAGTGGATTAGAGCTAGTTATTAGTGCTAGGACACACATGCTATTTTCATGGGCTATAAAACACCCACACACACACGCGGTTAAACATGTGCACTAGGGTTCTTTTTATAAACTGAGTTAAAAGATACTTAAATTAAAAACTTTACAGAGGATTATAGAAATTATTAGCCCTCATGACAATACTGGCCACATATACATCATTCACATCATTAATCAGGGACATTCTTAAGGGGCAAACACTAATAGAGGATATAGAAATAAATTATTTAAGCAGATAGTGAGGGCAAAAGAGTCCTCGATGGAACTTCCCTTCTAACAAAAAGCAGCCCTAGAAATCATTTCTTTTTTTTTTTTTTTTTTTTTTGAGACGGAGTCTCGCTCTGTCGCTCAGGCTGGAGTGCAGTGGTGATCTCTGCTCATTGCAAGCTCTGCCTCCCAGGTTCACACCATTCTCCTGCCTCAGCCTCCCGAGTAGCTGGGACTACAGGCACCCACCACCACGCCCGGCTAGTTTTTTGTATTTTTCAGTAGAGACAGAGTTTCACCGTGTTAGCCATAATGGTCTCGATCTCCTGACCCCGTAATCTGCCCGCCTCGGCCTTCCAAAGTGCTGGGATTACAGGCGTGAGCCACCCCACCCACCCGAAATCATTTCTTTTCTAACAAAGAGCAGCCTGAAAGATCGAGCTGCAAATATAGGTAAGGAAGCTAGAGGCTTGCATGGGAGGATGCCTGCAGCTGCACCAATAGAAAAGGGTTACCTGGGGGCCAGACGGGTTCACCATGGAAACTCCATCTTCCCTTTTTTGTTAGCATGCGTACAGTAAGAAAGAAATGGGCAACATGGAGAAGCTCAGGCAGAGAACCTATCTGCATAATAAAAGATTGGGGTGGTGACTGCTAGAGATTTACACGCTATGCAGATGGCACACTTGTTCCTAACCAGTTGTTTGCACCCTATGTACATCAGACACTACCTCCCCACTAACTCATCTATAAAACCCCCTGCATTTCACTGCGGATCAGCGACCAATCTTTCCAGGACCTCTCTTGGTAGCAGAGAGCTCTTCTCTTACTTTCGCCTATTAAATTCAGCTCTTAACCTCACTCTGTGTGTCCGCATCTTTGATCTCTGTGGCTGTAAGACAACGAACCTTGGGTGTCACCCCAGACAAGGCCACTTCAATGTGATGCACTTTTTAACAATACACGTTGCATGAACCCCAAATACCTGAGACAGGTCTCAATTTAGGAAGTTTCTTTTGCCCAGGTTAACGATGTGCAAGTGTGACACAGCCTCAGCAGGTCCTGATGACATGAGCCCAAGGTGGTCGGGGCACAGCTTGGTTTTAGACATTTTAGGGAGACACGAGACATCAATTATTACATGTAAGGTGAACACTGGATCAATACAGAGAGGCAGGACAACTCGAAGTGTGGGAGAGGGCTTCCAGGGCATAGGTAGATAAGAGACAAACGGTTGCATTCTTTTGAGTTTCTGATTAGCCTTTCCAAAGGAGGCAATCAGACAGGCCTTTATCTCAGTGAGCAGAGGGATAACTGAACAGAATGAATAGGAGGCAGGTGTGCGCTAAGCAGTTCCCAGCTTGACTTTTCCCTTTAGCTGAGTGATTCTGGAATCCCAAGATGTACCTTCCTTTCACAGTAGTGACAAGGTTTTCAGAAATTCATTGTGGCAAAAAAGCAGCAGCTGAGCCTTTTTGTTTGGGTAGAATAAAAATGGAAACAGTAACAGGAAATTCACCAGTTCCTTCTCTGTCCCTGAAAGGTGCACCAAGGGAAATTAAACCACAGGAAATGTTATTCATGTTAAAACAATCTATTCAGCCACTCAAAACTACAAATCAAATTGGAAAAACCTTTCCAATGAGTTTCAGTGAAAACACTCTTTATTAGTAAGCAGACATTTCACACTTTCTGATTACATACATCATGCAAAATGACTTCACACATGGTTGTCTGTTCATTGTGACATCTTTTTTGAGATGATTATAAATTTAAGATGACTGCAGTAGTAAAAATAATTCATGAAAATGACTCTCAATGAAGCAAAACACTACATAGCACACATGAAGTACTGTTCATCCCTCCTGGATGTTTAATTCTCTCCTAATGTAAATCTCTATTTTGGAAGACTATTATATACAAAAATGGCAGTTGTTTTTGTATGTGCATCTATAGGCACTCAACTGATAAAAACAAGAAAATTTCAAATAATTTTACAAGGTTTAGTTGTTTTTCCTGTTTTGTTAATCCAAAACAGGACAATGCCCTTTGATTTACAATGTTCAATTCTTTTAAGAAATCATTTTCTTCAGAAGATGATTTTGATCCATGAAAAAGTTGTTTTACCCCTGGTAATCTTTTTAAAATGGGGCTGGCTGTTATACATTATCCAAGTTGTTTTCAATGAGTGAAAACGAGTAGAGCTTATTTTGAGAAGAATTCCTCTCAATTATGGCTCTGAGAAAACTTCTCTGCAGTGGTGGGCTCACCACTTTCATCCTGTGGTAGTTCTGGTAGCACTCCCAGTATGAACACCCTAGCACAGGTAAATTCACCTCTTTAAAATCAGTAATGACCCTGGAGAAAGGTGAATTCCAAATCCAGTAGCACATTCAAGTCATCTGGCAGAGAAGCAGGCATAAAAGACTTCTCTAGGTACTTGGGGTGCTGCTGTAACAAATACCTAAAAATGGAAAAGTGGCTCTGGAATTGGGCAGTAGGTAGAGGCTGGAAGAATTCTGAGGAGCATGCCAGAAAGAAGCTAAATTGCCTTAAACAGACTGTTAGTAGAAATATGGAATGTTAATGCTAGGGCAGCCTTGAAGGAAGAAAGGAGTATAACAGACAATACCTCGATTGCCATACAGTATCTAAATCATCATGAATAGACTGTTGGTAGAAAATGAGGAATATGTTATTGGAAAACTGGAGGAAAGGGGTCCTCGTTACATAGCAGCAAAAAGCTAAGCTGAATTGTGTCCTGCAGTTATGTGTAAAGCAGAACTTTTAAGTGATGACTTCAATATTTAGCCGAAGATATTTCCAAGCAAGCTGTGGAAGGTACAGCCTGCTGTCTTCTTGCTGATTATAGTAAAATGTGGAAGGAGGTAGATAAATTAAGGGAAGAATGTTAAATATAAAGAACCCAGGACTTGATGATTTGGGAAATTCGTGGCCTGTTCAAATGGCAAAAGCCACTAAAACTAAGAGATTTAGTCAGGCCAGCCTTCTCTAGAGAAAGTGATGAAGGTATGGCTGTATAACCTTTTGCTAATACTTCAGAAACATCAAAAGGTCTGAGTATCAGGCCACACAAAAGGCTCTTTGAAGACATTAAGGGTGTGAATCATAGATCCTCTCAGCTATTTCACAAAAAGCCAAAAATAGAGAGAGGATTTTCCAGGAAAGATATGTGAGGAGCCTCCTATCTAAATGAGCGCATCCCCATGACATATGTAAGAGACCCACAAGTTTCCTGATAACGTTATAGCAGCAGAAGCACCACCATTTTTAACAGAAAGCTGTAGAAAATATAAAAGAAACTGAGAAGCTGATACACAGTTGCAAACGTGTGCTACCTTTTGTGAAAAAGATGACTCTGAGACAGTCACAAGCCCAGAGAACTGAGCAGTGAGCTGAAGATTACTCCCAGACCTTGAAACTTAAAGGAGGGTGCCTGGCTGGTTTTGTAAATTGATTGGTGCTCACGGCTCCTTTTTTCATCCAAATTTCTGCTTTTTGAAGAGGAATGTGTATAACTGTTACTGTATGCCTGTCATGCCAGCATACTTGGGAGCAGATAACCTGTTTTCTAGGTTCACAAGTGCACAGAGGGAGGAGAATTATGCCCCAGAAATCACACCCCGATCCTCTCAAACTTAATTTAGATGGCTTTAATGTGAGATTTGAGACTTTTGAGTTGGTGAGACTCAGGTAAGATTTTGGATTTAGAGTTGATACTGTAATAATGGTTTGTGACTTTTGAGCACCTATGAGTGAGGTAAATTTATTTGTGATGAATCTGAATCTTTAACACAGGGGTGGAGCTGGGGGCGGGGGCGAACTGTAGTAGGCAAGAATAATGTTCTACGTAAAATGTTAATGTCCTAATCTCCAAACGTATATGTAACCTTAGATGGTAAAAGAGATTTTGCAGATGTAATTAAGGTTACTATGGATTTCAAGATGAGGAGATAAGCCTAGATTATCCAGTGGGCCTAATTTAATCATTAGTCCTGGAGAGAACCTCTCCAGGCTGGTGTCAGAGAGAGATGATAACAGAAGGGTCATAGAGATGAAACAGTGCTGGTTTTTAAGATGGAAGGAGGCCACAAGCCAAGGAATGCAGATGTCCTCTAGAAGGTGGAACGACAAGGAAATGATTCTCCTATAGAGCCTCCTAAAGGAATGCAACCCTGCCAACAAATTGATCTTAGCACCGCGAAATCCATTAGGACTCCTAACCTATAGAATTGTTAAGATAATAAATTTGTGCTATTTTAAGCTACATTTTGTAACTTGTTATGGTGGCAATGGAAAACTAACCAGGAGTGATAACTAAGGATGAAATGGTGTCTGGGAAGAAGGAGAAGCTTCTGGCTTCAGCAGAAATGTAAACATTTATGCTGGTAATTCTTTAGATCTAGTCTGTACGACAGAATTTACATTCCTATATTTCTACACTAGTCTTGTTCTGGAGAAGACATTCTAGGTTGAGCACATAAGAATAGTGTTTAGTGTATATAGTGAGTTTCCTAGAAAAATGTGTTGAATGAACAAATGAATGTGATCAAGGCAAGCTCTGGGAGGAACTGTAATTACTTGATTTAAAAATGTTGTTGCTGTTTACCATATCTTCTTAAGAACTGCTGACATTTAGGCTGGGCGTGGTGGCTCATGCCTGTAACCCCAGCACTTTAGGAGGCTGAGATGTGTGTATCACCTGAGGTCGGGAGTTTGAGACCAGCCTGACCAGCATGGAGAAATCCCGTCTCTACTAAAACTACAAAAATTAGCCAGGCGTGGTGGCGCATGCCTGTAATCCCAGCTACTCGGGAGGCTGAGGCAGGAGAATCTTTTAAACCTGGGAGGTGGAGGTTGTGGTGAGCGGAGATCATGCCATTGCACTCCAGCCTGGGCAACGAGAGCAAAACTCCATCTCAAAAAACAAAACAAAACCAAAAGAATTGCTGACCTTTTATGTGTTTCTGTTTAAGTTCGCAACAGTCATAATTCTGTAAAATACAAGGCAAAACTGTAGTTTCTGATACTAGTAATATATCTAAATCAGTAAGTAAAAAGGATGTGTAAAATCTTAATAGGAGAAATAATTATTGTATGATCAAACAATTTCAAAATCAAAATAGACACGTTTCAGTATATATTACACACAAATTTTCAACGTTATTTGATCAAAAGATTTCTTAATGGCTGTTGGTCAATGCTGCATCAAGAAACTTTAGTGCAAATTTTACCAAACGCATTTATCAAAAAGGGGTTTTGTTCATTTTTTTCTGCAAACAAATGTTACATTCACACTAAGCATGTAACAAACTGATTTGCCTAGAAATCCAAAAACTATCAACATAAAGCCAGTCTTTCCACTAAAAACTCAAACATACTTATCTCAAGGTCTATTCCTAATCCAAATTTGTCTATATTCAGGTTGGAAGACAGAATAACAATAAAACCAAAATCTATCTGTAAAAATAATAAAAATAATTTAGTTGTTTTTAGTGCTGGAAGTATTGTTCTTATTAATATGGCACATCATCTATTCCCACATGCTACTGCATGGACAGGAACAATATTATTTTAGTTGCTGGAGTAACACAGTGTTAAGAATATCTGCTTCTAGCAGTGTCAGGCTTTCATCTGTTAGCTCTTTATTCGGAAATGAAGTCACAAGAATAAAGTCAAGAGCCGCAAATTCAGGACGAGACTGTACAATAAAGTTCCGGACATCCAGGATCCTGAAGAAATGAGATAAAAAAAATTTGTAACATAAAAAACCGTATTTTCATGTAAACTTAAAATTGAATCATAATAAAAATCACAAAATTTTAATCTTCATATAAAGGTGTTGTAACTTTCTTTAATGCATAGTATTTCAATTGAAGGATTTATCTTAGGCTTCAGTTAAAATGTAAAGTAACTTTAGTGTGTACTTAACATTTACTTTTCCTGTAAAACGGAAACAATCTTCAGGTAAGTTATGCATAAAGTAAGTGTACTAATGTTATTTTAAAAGTGCAGGTCTGGCTGGGCACAATGGCTCACACCTGTAATTCCAGCACTTTGGGAGGACGAGGTGGGTGGATCACTTGAGGCCAGGAGTTCGAGACTAGCCTGGCTAACATGGTGAAAACCCTGTCTCTACTAAAACCAGAAAAAATTAGCTGGGCATGGTGGTGGCTATCTATAATCCCAGCTACTCAGGAGGTTGAGGTATGAGAATTGCGTGAATCTGGAAGGCGGAGTTTGTAGTGGACCGAGATCCCACCACTGCACTCCAGCCTGGGAGAGAGTAAGACTCTGCCTCCAAAAAAAAAAAAAAAAAGTACAGGTCCTACTTTTTTCAGAGTATAAAATATGTTAGCAGCATAGGACCTGAAAAAGGTAACTATGATTGACCTGTGGCAAGGTGAGTTTAAAACTATGAAATGTGTTGTCGTAGGAATAATTTTAAAAAATTACTCTCACATAAACACACTAATTCAACCGAAATCATAAATATACCTGTTAGGGTCTTACTTCAATGGACAAATCAAATGTTGATGTACAAATCAATATTAAAGAAAAATTTAAAACTATCTGAAGTTCTTGAAAATGGTACAATTAAACTTGATTTACAATATACATTTACATTACGTATTTGCTATACAGAAAATCCCAATCAAAATTATCACACATTTTTAAATGAATAAAGTCCTCAAAGGTTTCATTATGTTAAATTAAATCTGACTCTACTTCATATAGTTTTAGTAACAACGTAAAACTGTAGTTCTTAATTTATTTTTGTATGATATCTGAGATCACATTAGTACTTGGATAGTTTATAAAGACTGTTTAAATACCATATATTTCATTTCTTATACACAGCTATTGTCCTTTTAAGAATGTTTCTTCTGTCAAAAAGTTACTTCAAAAGTAAACCTAAAGAATATCATATTCTTCATTACTCACATCACATACAGTTTTACTTAGATAAGCAACCCAGTGTATAGAACAGCAAACAGGACACTGGTGGTAAAGAAGCTTACCTGTGTGTACTATTGAATCTTTGTATCAAACGACTCCCATCTGCTAACCTGATTTGAATTTTTGTTGTTGGCACTGAATCATCAATAAGAACAACTGCATTAAGTATTGATTTATCCTCCTCTTCTGGAGAGGAAGGTGTACTGACTATTTCAGGTGTAAGGCTAAAAAAGAAGAATCAAAGAATTAGAACACAAATCTGAGTATGTAAAATATGACAAATTGAAGAAAGCAGATAAACACTTAGAACATGGCTTCATTTGAGTCTCCTATATTTCTTTCAACCTCTTTCATTATGTTAAAGTTATTTTGGATTCTATGATTCCTATTTGGTTTATCTAATCTCTCTTAAAAGCCTAACTTTGTATCCTTTCCTCATTTAACTGTTTGCAATTTCATCAGATTTAGCAAACCAGTTTTATTTAGAAACATAAGCAACTCTGAGTTAGTGTCAAAGAATGACTAAGAGCAGACACATACATTATTTCATTTACATCAGCCTGGAAAGCAGTGTTAACAGCACGGTTCCCGGAGTTGGATTACCTGGTTTCAGTCCCAACTCTGCACGTACTCTGTGACACCAGGCAAGTCACTTACCCTTATTGTGCCTGACAGACAACAGCAGCAGTGTCATAAAGATGAAGTTAATGAGGACACATAAGCACTTCAAATGGTGCTTTTATATAGTTGGCACTACTAAAAGTTGGCTATTAGCATTATAATTATCCTAACAACTCTGGGGGAAAAAAAAGTTACCCCCAATATTCCTATTGGTAAGGGAGAGAGTTGAGGTTTATCTTGGGCTCTTTCCACACATCAGGTTGCCTCCCTGTTGTTTTTGGAATCTACTGCTTTCTGTTTAAGGCAGATTCTGACCAGGTGTGCTTTTTCTCAAAACAGAAAATACAGGATGGGGAAGCTAGGTAAGAAAATGTGTGTATATCACAATGAAACTATTGTATATGGAATAATAACATTTGAGAACTGGAATGGATGGACTTTCAACATAATTTAGGCCAACCATATCATTTCATCCAAGAGAAACTGAGTCACAGAGAGACTAAAAGATATGTTCAGAACCACACAGATAGATAGCTGGACAAGCTGGTAGTGTGGTATTAAAAAATCAGCCTAAAAAGTAATGTTATTTTACTTTATTTTTATTTTTCTGAGATGCAGTGTTGCTAGGTTGCCCAGGCTGGAGTGCAGTTGTGTGATCTCAGCTCACTGCAACCTCTGCCTCCTGAGTTCCAAGTGATTCTCCTGTCTCAGCCTCCCAAGGAGCTGGGAGTGATTAAAGGTGCCTGTCACCACATGTGGCCTTTTTTTTTTCTTTTTCTTTTTTTGTATTTTTAGTAGAGATGGGGTTTTGCCATGTTGGCCAGGCTGGTCTTGAATTCCTGATCTCAAGTCATCTGCCCGCCTCGGCATCCCAAAATGCTGGGATTACGGGTGTGAGCCACTGTCCCCAGGTGAGTTATGTTAATTCTAATATTTAGCTGTCAAAATCACATCTGTTTGCTATTTAAAACTTTCTCTGTATCATTCAATTGATCAAGCCATAGTAAAACTTTTACATTAAAAAGAAAATTTCTTAAGAAAGAAAAGAGAAATTAATTGGTACAACAAGGTTTCCAGGCAAATGGCAAGAAAGGACGTAGGTTGTAATTCCCTGAGACAGGAAGAGAAACACCCTCTTCTTTAAACTTATGGTGGGAGAGGAGAATGGAAATGATCATTAATAAGCTTGAAGACTGGAGGGGAACACAATAAGAATGTGAATTCCTGTCAGGTTCTATTTTCTCAATGAAGCTGGAAGCAAAGAGATTTGCTGAGAGTGAGCGGCAGGGATCAAGGAGGGGGTTTAGGAAAGCAGCTCAGGCCTGTGAGATTGGCGAGGTACAGCACTGCCTGCTCAGCACAGCTGAGACTGTCCCCAGAAGTACTGAGCCGCACCAGCGGACAACCCAGTCAGGCTTCAGTCAGGCCACAGCTGTTGAAGAGCTGGGATAAGGAAAGGCTTTGAAGTTTTAGAGAAGAGAGCCCTCAGGGTCTAGGGCCCCAGATGAAGACAAATCTCAGGTGAGTGAGAGTGTTAAGCAAAATCTTTTGAAGAGAACAGTAGGACAAATAGGCAGTGACTATTGTGCAGAAAGTTCAGCTTTAAATCATGATTTTTATCATTATACACGCCAGCTCAAAAGCCTACCAAGAATGCCTACTTGCTAGTCCTCCCTATTAAAAATGACTCCTTGATTTTGTAGGTCTTTTACTTGTTAGGCACTACTCTAGCTCACCAAGCTAATTTTTATTCAATAACAGTTTGTTCTACCATTGCAAATTTGCAGTTTTACACCTATGGTTTGCCTTCTTCTATTATGTGAGGGTACTATGTAATATTTTTACAGCATTTTGGTTTCCACCACAATTGTATATCACATAAAAAGATCTAGTTTCCATCTATGTAACATTCTGTGTGTAATCAGACTGCCATCTATGGAAGACAATAGATTATTTTCATTTCTGTTTTACTTCTTTTTATTTCCTGCTCAGTAAATAATTGTCTTGAACTCTTGAGAACCAAGCCATTTTAGAAAGTTACTTTCTAAATGAAGGTTAACTATTGAACTTTCAATATCTTTCTTAATGTAAATTTTTAATATAAAATGTTCTACGCAATTCTTCACTTTAGAATATATGATATTTGCTTATTAGATATTTGGGTTTGTGTACACACAGGCTCACATCATGCCATCTCCTTCTATTAGAAGCTGAAAATTCTAAAGATTACATCTCTCAGACTCTCTGGCAGCTAGGATTTCATGATTCTACCCTTCCACCAAGCAAATAAACATATACTTGTTTGGTGGAAGTAAGCACTGCAAAGTGGAAAGTCTGTAGCTCTTCTGGTAACTAAGGTGGTGGAAGCATTTATTTCTTCTATGATGGAATGTTCTAGTATCTAGTCCTTAGTTTCATGGGCACTGAGCACCCGACTGGGGGACATAGGTGTTGTCTCTGGAACACTCTTCTATGGTGTTTGTTTCTCCTGGCTAAAGAAAGCTTGGTTTGCTTGTCTCTTCCAGATATTCTATAAACTACACAAGATCCTGTAAGAAACCTATTACTACTGGCAAGTAGATTCTATTTTCTATAATCAAAATCTTGATCAATATGGCTAGTAAATTAACATGGCATTATTACCACTGATCTCTGTCACTTTCTTCCATCAGTTTCTCCTTTCTTTTCTGTTATTTTCTCTATTTGCTTTATAAGGAAAATGATTGGCCTTTGTGAGATACTATCATCAGATAATATTCTTATTTTCATGAGTTTAATAATCACTGACTCTTCTCAGTTGCCTTCCCTTTATGCTACCTTCTTCAATTCCAAGTCTAGATTTACTGTAGGTCTACCAACAAGGATGTGCAGTCTAACATTAATTCTTGGTCATACATTTAAATAACAGAGAAGGAATATGTATATAGCAAAGAGATGACTAGGCATTTTATCCGCATTCTAATTAAAAATCATAATCTCAATAAATATCAAATAAAAATGGGAAGTGCTAGAAAATTAAAAAGTATATATATATATATGTTGATCACAACAAGAGTAGTAAAAACATAGTATTATACAATTCAAGAGAAGCCTGGCCAGGCATAGTGGCTCATGCCTGTAACCCAGGCACTTTGGCAGGCCAAAGCAGAAGAACAGCTTGAGGCCAGGAATTCAAGAGCAGCCTGGGCAAATTATAAGACACGTGTCTCTACAAAACCTAAAAATGAAAAAAAATTAGCTGGGGTCAGCAGTGCCTATAGTCCCAGCTAGTCAAGAGAGTGGGGTAGGAAGCTTGCTTGAGCCCAGGAGGTCAAGTTTGCAGTGAACTATGACTGCACCACTGTACTCCAGTCTGGGCAATAGAGCAAGACCCCACCTCAAAAAAAAAAAAAAAAAAAAGAAAGAGAAGCCTGACACGTGTTGACAGGAAAGAGACGAGGGAGAAAATTTCCAAGTAAACCTGTGAATGAAAATTGAAGAGTTTGTGTCCTAAGAAAAACAGGTGAACATAAATTCTTGTATTTCCTCTATGACCCCAGCACCAGTCTCTATCAGAAGAGAATACAGAAAGGGAGACTAGAGATAGCAAAGTATAAAGAAGCAATACTGAATTCTTTCCTATCTTGAAATATGAGGGGAGAACAGACAACCAGTGTGCACCAGGCAACTGAAGGGGGCTTGGAAGGGAAGGAAATCACATGAAGAGAAGCAAAGGATGTACCAAAGCATACACCGGAAACATCACCAATGCGGCAATTCCACATCACCTGCAACAATGTGTGGACAAGTAGAAGGTAACTTTTACCAACATATTTTACAATTTCTAAGATTACATTAAGCCATGGCTATTATAAAGGAAACCACTCATACATTCTGCCACGTGCATTAGTTTTTAAATTGTGCTCTTCAGTGCTAAGGTTCTTCGGAAATGTCGCAGACACAATGCCTTCCTTCACCAACAATCAGAGGAGCTCAGATTTTACATATTGGGCTTCCATGACTTGAAAAAAGAGTTTGGCTGTTTAAAAACTATTGAAAATCACAAAGCTAAGCACATTGCTCCTGCTGCAAGAGCTTGGTCATTACTGATGGCAGATATGCATGCTTAAGTTGTGATGTAAGGTATCCATTATTTTATCTCATCAACAACCCTTTACAATTCTCTCCTTTGAAACCAGCTAATCTGAAAGAGGCATATAATATAGTGGTGAAAAGCACAAATTCTGGAGTCAGAGTGCCTGGGTTTGAATCACACAAGCTAGTCATTTCTTAGCTCAATAATCTTGGGCAAATTACTGCATCTACAAAATGAAGTAATAACAGTATCTACATCAAAGAGTTGTTGTAAAGATTAACTAACACATTAGGGCTTAGAGGACCAGGAACATGGTAACTGCAATCTAAGTATTAATATTAATTATAGTATTAATATCACAATTAATATCATAATGATACAATGGTATAATAATATAATACTATTAACAGAGTTATATATCTAATGTGCATGGTTCATATTTTTGTTTTTACTTCATAGGTCATTTTGCTTTTCTTATTCTCAAAGAAAAATTCATGTTCAACAAAGGTGTTTTTCTCATTTTAGGATTTTTTACCTTCCAAGTTTTTGCCCTTCTCCACTAAAAGCCTTGAACCTCAATCTAGGTTTTATGTATTCTTGATCTTGATGATCCTCCATATCCAAATTCACTTGGCCACCATGAACAAGGCGCTGAAGCTCCAGAGGAATCTCTCTTTTAAAAAGGGGGAAAAAAGTTATCATTAAGTTTTTCAAGAATTAAACTACACTGTTGAGATTACTGTAATTATTTCATGAGCTATACTGGAAAACAGAAATTTTTGCTTAAATTATAACATAAAAATTTCCATGATGGCTGATTAGTCCTTGTAGATCTTTTAAAAAGTCACTTCACATTACTCCTTACTGGTTCTCAACACAGGGATGCTTTGGTAGTCACAATTATCTTGGAGAGCTTCTGGCATTTAGAAAGTTAAATTTTAAGACAGCAATTTATATGTAAATCAGCACCAGAAAATTCCTATGAGGATAAAAAGGTAATGTGGCTATTTATTAATAAACTCCTTGGAGAAAGTTCTGAAAATTGATATGGGTGTTTTTGCTTGTTGGGTGTATTAGTCCATTTGCATTGCTATAAAGAAATACCTGAGGCTGGGTAATTTATAAAGCAAAGAGGTTTACTTTGGCTCATGGTTCTGCAGGCTGTAAAAGAAACATGGTACCAGAATCTGCTTCTGGTGAGACCTCGGGAAACTTACAATCACAGTGGAAGGCAAAAGGGGACCCAGCATATCACATGGCAAGAGCAGAAGCAAGAGAGAGTCGGAGGTTCCCGGTTATTAACCAGCTCTTGAGTGAACTACCGGGGTGAAAACTCATTACCATGGGGATGGCAGCAAGCCATTCATGAGGGATCTGCCTTCATGACCCAAAATCTCCCACCAGCCCCACCTCAAGAGTGGAGGTCACACTTCAACATGAGATTTGGAGGGGACAAAACATTCAAACCATATCATTACACCACTGGCCCCCCAAATTTCATGTCTTTCTCACATCACAAAATACAATCATCCCTTCTCAATAGTCCCCCAAAGTCTTAACTCGTTCCAGCATTAACTCAAAAGTCCAAAATCTCATCTGAGATTCAAGCCATGTTCTTTCTACCTACAATCCTGTAAGATAAAAAAATAACCTATTTACTTCTAAGATAGAATGGTGGTATAGGCATTGGCTAAACATTCCCATTCCAAAAGAGAGATCTGCCAAAAGAAAGAGGCAACAGGCCCCATACAAGTCTGAAACCTGGCAAGGCAGACATTAAATCTTAAAGCTCCAAAATAATCCTTGACTCCATGTCCCACATACAGGGCATATTGGTGCAAGAGGTGGGTTTCCAAGGCTTTGGGCAGCTCTGGCCCTGTGGCTTCTCTCATGGGTTGGAGGTGAGTACCTGTGGCGTTTCCAGGCTCAGGTTGCTGGTGGCTCCACCATTCTTGAGTCTAGAGAGTGGCACCTCCCTTCCAACAATTCCACTAGGCAGTGTGCCAGTGGGGTCTCTGGGGGCTAAAACCTCACATTTCCCTTTGGCATGGACCTCTGAAATCTAGGTGCAGCCTCCCATGCCTCTTTCACTTGTGCATTCTGTGTGCCTGTAGGCTTAACCCCATGTGGAAGCCACCAAGGCTTACAGTAGTGGCTTGTGCCCTTCAGAGTGAGTGGAGGCCCAAGCTATAGCTGGGGCTTTTTGAGCTGCAGCTGGAGCTGCAGCAGCTGGGATGCTGGGAACAGTGTCCAGAGGCTGCACAGGGCAGCTGGGCCCTGGGTTTGGCCTCCAAAAACCACTTTTCTCCTAGGACCCTGGGCCTGTGATGGGGGATGAGGGGGCTGCATTAAAGGTCTCTGAAATGCCTTCAAGGCTTTCTTCCCATCATGTTGGTTAGTAGCACTAAGCTAGGCTCTCTTCTATTTATGCAAATCTCTCTATCAAGTGGCTGCTCCACAGCCTGCTTGTATTCTTCTCCTGAAAACACTTTTTCCTTCTCTACTACATAGCCAGGGTGAGAATTTTCCAAACTTCCACTGGCTCTGCTTCTCTTTTAAATACGAGTTCCAACTTTAAGCCATTTATTTGTTCCTATGTCTGACCACAGGTTGTTAGAAGCTGCCAAAAAGCCTCTTGAATGTTCTGCTGCTTAGAAATTTCTTCCACCAGGGCTGGGCATGGTGGCTCATGCCTGTAATCCCAGCACTTTGGGAGGCCAAGGCAGGTGGATCACAAGGTCAGGAGTTCAAGATCAGCCTGGCCAAGATGGTGAAACCCATCTCTATTAAATACAAAAATTAGCCAAGTGTGGTGGCAAGCACCTGTAATTCCAGCTACTTGGGAGGCTGAGGCAGTAGAATTGCTTGAACCTGGGAGGTGGAGCTTGCAGTGAGCCGAGATCGCGCCACTGCACTCCAGCCTGGGTGACAAGAGCAAGACTTTGTCTCAAAAAAAAAAAAAAAAAAAAAAAAGAAAAGAAAAAAAAGAAATTTCTTCCACCAGATACCCTAGATCATCACTCTTAAGTTTAACCTTCCACAAAGCCTTAGGGTATGGACACAATGCAGACAAATCCTTTGCTAGGGTGTAACAAGGCTGACCTTTACTCCAGTTCCCAGTAACTTCCTCATTTCTATCTGAGAACTCATCAGGCCTTCACTATCCGTATTTCTATCAGTACTTTAGTCACAACCACTTGAGAAGTCTCTAAGAAGTACCAAATTTTCCTTTGTCTTCCTATCTTCTTCCAGGACATCCAAACTCTTCCAACTACTGCCTATTAACCAGTTCCAAAGATGCTTCCACATCTTCAGGTATTTTTAGAGCAATGCCCTACTCCTTGGTACCAATGTTCTGTATTAGTCTGTTTGTACTGCTATGAAGGAATACTTGAGGCTGGGTAATTTATAAAGCAAAAAGGTTTATTTTGGCTCATGATTCTGCAGGCTGTATAAGTAGCACGGTACCAGATTCTGCTGCTGGTGAAGCCTCAGGGAACTTACAATCATGGTAGAAGGCCAAGGGGGATCTGGTGTATGACACAGCAAGAGTGGAAGCAAGAGAGAAAGGCAGGTTCCAGGCTCTTTTAAACAATCAGGTATCACTTGAACTGCCAGAACAAGAACTCATTCATTACCATGGGGTCGGCACCAAGTCATTTGTGAGGGATCCACCCCATGATCCAAACACCTCCCACAGGCCCACCCCAAACACTGGAGGTCACATTTCAACATGAGATTTGGGGAGGACAAAACATCTAAACCATCTAAACAACATGGGGTGATTTGAGGGCACTGCTGTCATTCAGTGTCAAGGATGTCAGATGCACTGCAACAGGAGATCTGTCTTATGAGAGAAAGACTCGTCTTGGGTTCCAAAGAATCATTATGTGCCCTCCAGGGAGTCACGTGGATGAGATAATACTGTCTGATCCTAAAACCTAAGTCTGTCTCATATACAAGCAAAACACATTTTTTAGGCTATTGTATTAATATACTTTGAAATCTTCAGGAATGTACAACCATGTAAAGTGAGGGAACACTGTACTTTGTTTTGTTTGGACCTTTACCAAGTCCTTGAATGCAAGCTACTTGCAGTAATTAAGCTGACAACCTCATATGCTTCATTTTTCTGTTTTTATACCTGTCATATTTACATGGGAAGTGCTAGACTGCATAGAGGTACAAACTAACTGCTTCTTATGCGTGCCGTGTGGTCATATCAGGGCATTTATATATTAAAACATGTATCATTTTATAATAAATTATTTCTTCAATATATTTAAGGTAGAATATTAATTTCTTCTGGAAAATCATGTACATAGATTATGTTAGCTATGAGTTCTTTGAAGATAGTGTAGATGGTTTTACAAAATATTTCTTATAAAAAGGAGACAATGGATCTTACATAGCTGAGAACCACTACCTGACATTACTCATTTTCTTTAAGGAGTCTTTTCTAAAACTCTTCTTGATCATAATTTATATTTGCAGATATGGTGTGGCTCAAATTTTAAAATTCTTTTAATACACCACATTTGTTTAAACATTAGCCTACAAAGTTTATGGTTTATTTTCATTTAACAATAAATTAGTTTTTATCTATTTAATAGCACATTCATTCTCAATATGTTGTTTCCACTATCTTGAAATCAGTATCAATTTCTATAGTTATATTGGTCTTCACTTAGCCAATCAAAACTTCCCCCACCTAGTTGCTCGCAGCTCTTCCCAGTGATTCTGCAGGTTTCCAAGTACACAGCACTGACTTAAACCATTATATCCTATATTTGTCACCCCCATATAATGCCTCCTAGGACAGCTTCCCACCTCTTGCAAAGACTTCAGCATACTTCTTACGGCATTTGTTGCCTTTGTTTGGTATCCTGACAGTATCTGTATAAAATTTAAATTCAAAATTAATGCTAATGAGTCTTCTAAAATACCTTTCCTTTGGAGTTCCTCTACTACTTCAACTCCAGTGAATTTAACCTCCACTCCATGTCAGCCACTCATCCTGGACATATTTCAACATTTGGAAATGCTCCACCTGCTATTCCTTTATGGAGTATAACCCTGTATATATAACTCCGGTTATATACAGTATAACTCTGATCCTTTCCTACGACTTAATTTCTCAGTTTATGCTCAACTTTATGTCTTTAGTTGTATATCTACTTAGAAATAACCTCACTTTCAGCTAGTTTAATCATAACACAGAAAAAGCTTTTATCATCATAGCAAAATCACTTGATTCCTCATCCTTTAGCAAGAAGAGCTGGTAAGTTACAATGTTCTTTGGATGGGTCAGAGCACTGAATATCTGAGTTTACTTTCACAAATTGTAACTTCAAAGTAACCTTTTGAAATCTTCTGCCAGCAGTAATGCCACATTAAAAGATTTCTAACATAAGTTGCTGAATTTCAGGCATACATGCAATGAGAGTCACCCTGTCAACAGTAAGCAGGACAGTGGCTTAGTGGGTGGGTAGCTACATACTAATTAATTCACTGATTATCACATTAAGATGTTTCTTCTTGGAGCTGGGTTCATAGTTTCATCACATTTTAAAATGGGCCAATGTCCAATGCCCCTGGCCCACAAAGTTAAGAACCAGTGACTTACAGATAGCAGTATATCCTTTATAAAACTTAAGAATACCTACACCCCCAGCAACCACTTATTTAATATATTCCAGGAACTACTTCTTGAAAACCCGCAGTGCACTAATAATTAGTAGTCTGTTAAGAAAATAAGTCCCACTCTACATAACAAATAGAATACAAATAATACATCTTACCCTCTCTTAACAGACTCCAGAAATTGAGCATTTGTTGGTTCATTGTAAGGTCTCAATTCTCCATCATCTAAACTGAAACCATTGCTCCACAGTTTAAGCAAAATCTGAACCTTTTGGGCATAGAAAAGAAAAAAAAAAAAAAAAAAAAAAAAATATATATATATATATATATATATATATAAAAGAATACATCTCCCCCCAAACAATTTTAAGTTCCAAATGTGATATCGCAAAATGTATTTACTTAATTTAAAACAGGGAGTTATTTCCATTATTCACAGTGAAAGACATTAATGAAACCACATGCATTTGTTTAGCTAGTTTGCATTCAGTTTAACAAATTGACAATGGTTGCAAATACCAAAGGTCCCAGAGCTGGACCCTGGCCTTGAAGTACTATTGGTGGATGGTTCACTAGAAAATGAAAGCAATGAGAAGAGCTGCACCCCACGATTCCCACCATTTTCCTTCATCTGCACCCATACTCTTCTTTGCTACAGAGCTTAAATATCCATGACAAGGGGAACAGAATTTCCAGTGACCTTCTAAGAAACTATAAATGTCTACAATAAAATTAAAACTCCAAAATTTCAAAAGGCCACAGAAACAAAGAATGACTTTAGGTGTTCTACATTTATACCTCACCTCATTTTAGATTATGAAAATATGTCATTTATAATAATAACTATATATTTGTTCATTTTTCTTTTTTTAATTGATTTTTTAAAGAGCCAGGGTCTCACTATGTTGCCCAGGATGGTCTTGAACTCCCGGGTTCAAGCAATCTGCCCACCTCAGACTCCCAAAGTGATAGGATTATAGGCATGAGCCACTGTGCCTGGCCCAAGTTCATTTTTTTAAACACTTTTTTTTTTTTATTTGTTTTTGAAAGAGATAGGGTCTGGCTATGTTTTCCGGGCTGGCCTTGAACTTCTGGGCTCAAGTGATCCTCCTACCTCAGCCTCTGGAGTAGTTGGGACTCCAGATGCACGTCACCACGCCTGGCTGCAAATTCATTTGGACAATGAATCACACACTCTTTCAACAAATAGTTACATATCTCTAAGTGCAAGGCATAATTGTGATACAAAACATAAAAATCAGACTGAAACTCACACATCATTGGTCCTTTTAACCCCTGTTTTAAAAAGTAACAAAAATATTACATTTTTATTATCAATTCTTAATTTTAAAACCAACAGTTTTAGTAACTAGAAACAACTATTTTTCATTTTGATTATTGTACCTACATCTTGCAGCTGATTTTCTCCATAGATATATTCAGATCGCTTACAAAAGGAATTACCCAATCTGTATCCTCCACCTGTAAATGACTAAAATACATAGCAAATGAGTTAAAATTCACAGAGGATTATTCAGCAAAAAGTCATTATGTGATATGTATTTTAAAGCTACATGAATTCTAATTAGCCAAAGTGGCTCATATTGGGGAACCTTCAAGAACCAAAACTGCCATAAGACTTGACTAAAAGATAATTTCAAACCATTGACGAATAATGAAATGAAAACCAAAATTTAAGTTTCATTAGAGCAGTGGTTCTCAACAATGGATGTCAAAATTATCATAGAAGCTTTTTTAAAAGTCATGTTTCTAGGCATATCCCAAACCTATTGAACCATAATACCTGAAGCCATCAGGTAGTTTAGATAACCTCCCCAAATGATTTTGAAGGAGAAATTCCAGGATGAGAAATGCTACTTACAAGAATGTATGAAATTATACCACAAAAGACACATAACTGTTGGTCTTTAGTATATCAATATTGTGTCAGATGATAATTATAAAAGCTGTATAGAGGTGGCTCATGCCGGTAATCCCAGCACTTTGGGAGGCGGAGGCGGGCGGATCACGAGGTCAGGAAATTGAAACCATCCTGGCTAACACGGTGAAACCCCATCTCTACTAAAAACACAAAAAATTAGCCGGGCGTGGTGGCGGGCGCCTGTAATCCCAGCTACTCCAGAGGCTGAGGCAGGAGAATGGCGTGAACCCGGGAGGCGGAGCTTGCAGTGAGCGGAGACTGCGCCACCGCACTCCAGCCTGGGCAACAGAGTGAGACTGTCTAAAAAAGAAAAAAAAAAAAAAAAGAAAGAAAAAAAGAAATTTAGAAAGGTACAAAAGCAATTCAATGGAGAAAGGAGTGCCTTTCAAGAATTGATGCTGGAGCAACTGGATATCCATAAGCAAAACAATAAACTGGGGTGTCAACCTCACACCTTATACAAAAAATTCAAAGAGATCACAGCTTTAAATGTAAAGCTGTAACATTTTTCTAGATAACAAGGGAGAAAATATTTGGGACCTACAGTTAAGTGAAAAGTTCTTAGACAATACAGCAAAAGCATGATCCATAAAAGAAAAAAAAGGAATAAATTGGACTTTATCCAAGTTTATTTCCGTTGCTTAGTGAAAAACCCTGCTAAGAGGATAAAAATACAAATGACATTCTGAGAGAAAATATTTGCAAACCATTTAACTGACAAAGGACCCACACCTATTAAAATATACAAAGAATTCTCAAAATTCGACAGTAACAAAATAATCCAATTAGAGAATGGGAAAAGTTAATGAAGAGATAGTTCCTTGAAAAGAACAATACAGATAATGGCAAGGAAGCACATGAAGAGTTGTTCATCCCTAGCCATTAGGAAAATGCAAATTAACATCATTAGTTATTAGAGAAATCAAATAAAACCACAGTGTGTTATCACTGTATATTATCACCCATCAAAATGGCTAAAATTAAAAATAGTGACAACACCAAATGCTGAAAAGGATGCAGAGAAACTTGCTCTCTCATATATGTGGGAATACAAAATGGCACAACCACTCTGGAAAACAGTCTGGCTGTTTCTTAAACTAAACATACACTTAATGTATGACCTACCAATTGCACTTCTGAGCATTTATCCCGGAGAAATAAAACCACATGGCAGTAAAAAAACCTGTACCCAATTGCTCTCAGCAGTTTTATTTGTAACACTCAAAAGCTGGAAACGAAAATATCCCTCAATAAATGAATGGTTAAACTGTGGTATATCTAGAGCATAAAATGCTACTCAGGAAAAAGGAACAAAGTTGGGATACAAGCAATAACTCTGATAGATCTCAAGGGCATTCTGCTGAGTGAAAAAAGCTATTCCAAAAGGTCACATATTGTATGACTCCATTTGTATGACATAGGAGTTTCACCATGTTCGCCACGCTGGTCTTGAACTGTGATCTGCCCACCTCGGCCTCCCAAAGTGCTAGGATTACAGGCATGAGCCACCACACCTGGCCGGTGTAACATTCTTAATATGATGATAAAATTATAGAGATGAAAACCCAATTGACCAGTATTGGCTAGAGGTTTGGGACGGTAGGAGAGACGGGGTGGGTATGAGTGCAAATGGGTAAGCTATGAAGGAGAGCTTCAGTTGGGTGATTACACATGTGATAAAAGGACACAGACACAGAGAAATCCAAATTCCTGGCTTTCATATTATACTATAATCATGTAAAATGTAACTGTTGGGGGAAACTAGGTGAAAGGTACATGAAACCTCCCTGTATTCTTTTTACAAATGCCTGTGACTCTACTAATTATTTCGTAATTAAAAGGTAAATTAAAAGGTTGTTCAGAAATGTAAGAAATTGTCTCAACTTTCAATCATTAATAGAATTTTATAAAAACGAAACAAATATTTAAAACAAATATACAATTAGAAAAACAATGTTTGCAAATAATATAAAAATGAAAGAGGAGGTAAAATATAGAAACAGTGTATTTAGTTTCACTGACCTTAGATTTATCATCACCTGAAGCTCTTGTGGCTTCATTCAGAGGGACAGCCCCATGTTCCCTTGCCTCTCTGAAAAGTTCATTCACAATTTTCCCAGTTGAAGGTCGAACTATATTTAATCCACTGTATTCATGTTCACTTGAGTAAAACCTTTAAACATTTTAGTTCATCAATAAAAACTTAGGATAACAGACATAAACTAAAGTAAAAAGCTACATACTCTTATGAAAATAAAAGTATTTTATTTAAAAAAAGGCATTCTTTTGACTTCTATGAGAATATTTAATTTTTAAAATGGGATTAAGGAAAAGAATAAGAAACAGATCACATATTTTCTCACTGAGTTTGCAGAGATTGATTCTAAGGGCAAGTTCAGGCTCCAGTGTGATAACTGGCTTGCCTGCTGATCCCTCAGCCTTCTGTAACTGCTTATCACATACATCTCATTCACTAATTCAGCACTTCTGATGTAGAAGGGAAAGCAGTGTCAACAATCAAAAGATAGTCCCTTCTCCCTAAGAAGGCCACACTCAGTAGAGACCTAGTTAGTGACGAGATCTCTAGCTTTAGACAGTATAAACAGCTAATTCTAAACTAAAGGGTTATCTATAGAGGATTTATTTTTCAGAGATTTTTGGATTTAAAAGAGACCTACTCCCTTATAACCCCCTGTGTTTGTTAAAAGTAAATAATTTAGACTAATTTTTTGGCGATCAATTTCTACTTTGACTCCAACTTCATAAATGGTCCTAGGAAACATAAAAATTACCTTTACATAAGATTAATAACCTACTTTCATCTTTCAAGATTTTTTCTATCAAGAATATCAGAACTATAACCAATGAAGTATCAACATGGAGATTTCCAGCGTAAGAAGACAATCAAACCTCATTTGTTAAAATACTTACAACTCTCCAATTCAGTCCCAAATTCACATTGAACTGACACACAGAACAAAACAACGGGGGGAAATTATATCTGCCTTGGAGACTAGGAACAGAATTCACCTTCAAGGCTTTCTCCTAAATTAGAATATATGCAAAACTGAATAAGATAGAGGAAAGAACAGACCAGCTCTCACTTTGTAGTAAAGGAAGGAAAAGATCCATCAGGATGGAGAACAAGAAGACACCAGGAGAACCCTACTAAACCCTACAAACTGCAGAAGGTGGAGGTGGGGCTTCATCCTGCCAGCTCTGGAGAAGTACACTGGGTCCAAATTTATCTAGAGCAGGAGCCTATGGAAGCCTTCCTCCCAAGCTTACACTCAAGGGTCCAGGGTAGCAAGCAAGGTTGAACACTGCCCTAGTTGGCTTTTAAGACAAGCCTTAGTGTTAGAAGCAGATTATTTTACGTAGCTATGACAAACACAGAAAAACAAAGCAAAGCAACGCTTCCTGCTGCAGCTGTCTGCTGCTGTAACACTCCTCCCCTCTCTGGAGTGCCCTGGAAACGAGGAACGGAAGTCACCTTCAAGGCTTTCCACATCTCTAATCTGGCAAAGTGAATAATCATTCCTTTTTATTTCAGTCTTAGTGAGAAAGACCTTACTGCAAAAATCAGTCATAGCAAATGATTTCCTATCTCCTTTATGGTTAATGGTTTTTATTATTTGAAATCTTTGCCTACTCTAAGGTCATAAAGATATTCTATTTTCTTCCAGAAATTGTATTGTTTTAATTTCTGTATTTAGATCCACAACCCATATGCAACTGACATTTGTAGGTGGTATAAGGCAGAGGACAAGAACTGTTTTTCCTCCATATAAATGTCCATTTGTCCCAGTACCACATAATGAAATTCTGTCCCTCACTGCTTTGCAGTGTCATAAATCAAGTTGCTATTTATGTGTGTCTATGATTCTGAGTTCTCTTATTTTGGTCCATGGTCTACTGTCAGTTCTTACTCTCTTAACTATTTCAGCTTTATAATAAGTCTTTGCATACAGCAGTGTAAGTCCTCAACTTTAATTCTTCATGAATATTCGGGGCAATGACATTTATTGATTGCTGAAGTAATTCTCTATACTCATTCAAACTAACTTATTAAATATACATGAAAAGGAATAAAAGATGCCTAGTACAGAATTGGTACTTAGCTGGGCCTTAAAAGGATTTAGGACATTAGGACTTAGATAAGCACAGAAGGGACAAAATTCTAGGAATGAAGAAGAACAGGTACACAGGAGGAAAAAATCAAAATGACCAGAGGAATCAGAAAAAGAATCAGAGTCTTTCATAGTTTTCTTTGTATGCAATTATGTCATTGCACGTAATGAGCTTTATTCTATTTATTTCCAATCTGTATACTTTTGTTTTTCTCATCTCATTGTGCTGACTAAAACCTCCAGTACAAGTTGAATGAAAATAGTGATAGGGGTTACCCACTGATAATGTTCCCAACTTCAGAAGAGCTGGGCGGTTTCAATCTTTTTAGCTCCTAATGATGACTACCCAAACCTTAAACATATTGACTGTGACTGATGCCCATATTTCCCATGCATTTACTCCCTGCGGTAAGATTTTTGCTCCCATTTTGCTACTGAATCTCAAGGTTTGCTACTGAATTCTCAAAGGTTCTTAGTTATCTTCTCATTGCCAAACACAAAAGACTTTCCTCAGTTATTACCCACTTTCTGAAACATTTGATCCTTTTGAGCCTATTCTTTTTCTCCTTTCCATTGTTTCATAGTTGAACTCTCTCCTGGACTTCCATCATACCAAAATTGCTTGTTTCTTTGCCCAGTGGGATCCAACATCTCCTTCTCTATTTTACTGAATTTCTTCCTCCTCCTCTTACATAAATATGCCTATATCCTTGACTTCAATTCCCTTCTATTTAAGCTCATTTGATCATCAAAATATTTATCCACTGCCAAAGATAACCTCTTCTATACAGATGACTCTCAAATATATGCTTTTACCATTCACTTATGGTCCAGTGTTGAATTTAAAAGCACCTGCCAGATAGTTCTACTTTAATCAAGTTCATCTCCAAAACTGAAGCTATTTCTACACATAAGCCCTCCCACTAACAATCACACTTTTTCCTGTATCCCAAATTTAAAACATTTAAGTCTTCTCTCTTTCCTACTGGCTTACTTCCTATATCCCATGTCATTACATTTCTATAATAAACACCTTGAAAATATCCTGTATTAATTTCACCCTTTTCTCTCCATTCCACTGACACTACCTCAATCCAAAATTTATTTTATTTATATATTTTTTGAGACAACATATGGCTCTACTGCCCAGGCTGGAGTGCAGTGATGGCTCTACTGCCCAGGCTGGAGTGCAGTGGTGTGATCTTGGCTCACTACAACTTCCACCTCTTGGACTCAAGCTATCCTGCCATCTCAGCCTCCCGAGTAGTTGGGAATACAGGTGTGCACCACCACGCCTGGCTATTTTTTATAGAGACAGGGTTTAAGCCCTGTTGCCCAGGCTGGTCTTAAACTCCTGAGCTCAAGCGATGTGCGCTGCTTCAGCCTCCCTAAGTGCTGAGATGACAGGCGTGAGCCATCGTCCTTGGCCTTGAATCCAAAATTGTTTACCTCATTCCTTAGTTTACCTCAATTGTTTCTGTCTTGATTTCTTTCCCTCTTTATCCTGTTCTCCCCATCATCATTAACTTTATATAGTATTGCCAGTCCTATTTTCCTAAATGAATAGTAATAGCTCACATTTATCAAGGGATGACTATGTGTTTAGTTAACCCTCCTAACAATGGTATTATTCCTATTTTACAGGTAAGAAAACCAAGACTGAAGAAGTTTAAATAACTTGCCAATTGGCAAAACCTTATCAGAAGACAGAGAAAAAAAAAATTACAAGGAGGAGGAGTGAGTCAGCCTGGGGGGCGGCTGCAGTCTCCAGGATCCCCAGGCTTGGAGTGAGGTCTGTGCACAGCCAGCTGGCTCTGTCCCACGTCTGGTCCTGAGCGGGTCTCCCTCAGGCCAGCCTGATGTGACCAAGCCCAGCGGAGCCTGAGCAAGGAGTGGGTCCGTCACAGAGCCGGAGGGCGGGAGGAACACGACATCGCAAAGATGGTTTCACTCAAATATCACTGGGGTGGAGGCAGAAAACCTACTGTTGACAAGAGGAGCTGATGGCAGTTTTTCGGCAAAGGCTAGTAAAAGTAACCCTGGAGACTACACACTTTCTGTTAGAAGAAATGGAGCTGTCACCCACATCAGGATTCAGAACACTGGGTCAGGTGCCATTGGTTCATGCCTGTAATCCCAGCACTTTGGGAGGCCAAGGTGGGCAGATCACAAGGTCAGGAGATTGAGACCATCCTGGCTAACATGGTGAAACCCCGTGTGTACTAAAAATACAAAAAATTAGCTGGGCATGGTGGCGGGTGCCTGTAGTTCCAGCTACTCAGGACGCTGAGGCAGGAGAATAGCATGAACCCGGGAGGCGGAGCTTACAGTGAGCTGAGATTGCATCACTGCACTCCAGCCCGGGCGACAGAGCGAGACTCCATCTCAAAAATAAATAAATAAATAAATAAACAAATAAATAAAAAGATTCAGAACACTGGTGATTTCCATGACCTGTATGGAGGGGAGAAATTGGCCACTTTGGCTGAGTTGGTCCAGTATTACATAGAATATCACAGGCAATTAAAAGAGAAGAATGGAGATATTATTGAGCTTAAATATCCTCTGAATTGTGCAGATCCTACCTCTGAAAGGTGGTTTCATGGACACTTCTCTGGGAAAGAAGCAGAGAAATTATTAACTGAAAAAGAAAAACATGGTAGTTTTCTTGTACGAGAGAGCCAGAGCCACCTTGGAGATTTTGTTCTCTCTGTGCGCACCGGTGATGACAAAGGGGAGAGCAATAACAGCAAGACTAAAGTGACCCATGTTATGATCTGCTGTCAGGAACTGAAATACAACGTTGGTGGAGGACAATGGTTTGATTCTTTGACAGATGTTGTAGCCCCTTAACACGACTCGTATAAATGCTGCTGAAATAGAAAGCAGAGTTTGAGAACTAAGCAAATTAGCTGAGACCACAGATAAAGTCAAACAAGGCTTTTGAGAAGAATTTGAGACACTACAACAACAGGAGTGCAAACTTCTCTACAGCCGAAAGAGGGTCAAAGGCAAGAAGACAAAAACAAAAACAGATACAAAA